TCTCAGATATGAACGATCAACTTGATGAATACCTTAATTGGTTCTCTGAAAACAAATTGATATTAGATGCAAAAAAATCGTGACTCTATTTTATCAAGAAAGAACTCTGATAAATTCTTGGGAATCATAATTCAGTCTGATTTAAAATGAGATGAACATGTGAATGCAGTATTGGTTAAAATATATAAAATCACAGGCGTCATTTACAGGTCGCATAACAAATTGAGTCATGATTCAATGTTGTTATTATACTATTCCTTATGCTACCCCTACTTAATATATGGTAATGTTTTGTGGGAATCCACGTACAGTTACTTGATAAATAAGTTGACAATAGCCCAAAAAAGATTCTTAAGAGTGTGCTTTACGATGAAGCGCTTAGACCACACGAGTGGTGTATATAAGTCAAATAGATTCTCAGTATCGAGCAAATAAATATTTACCTAACATTGACGTTTATTTATAGGATATTAAATGATGAAAATTATAAATCAATCAAATCCCTTGTAAGTGTTTCATTGAGCACAAGACAACAAAGTGCTATTAACGTATCGAATAGTAGTAACAAAAACTGGACTGTGAGAGGTAGTAAGTTATGGAATTATATGGATCCATATAAAGGTAGTAAGTTATGGAATTATATGGATCCATATAAAAGATGTTTTGTTAATTATAAAAATTTACATAATATTATTTTTATTTTCGTATTATTTATCAATATTTTGAAAAACCTTCTTTCAATAGTTTAATATTATATTACTGTCTGGTTGAGTATCCATTATTGTACGATTTATGTTCCACACGATGTAACAGGGCCTCGTGTAACATTGTAACTGGGTGACAAAAATGCTACCCAGCGTTGATTTTTTGTCACCCAGTAATGTTGATTTCGTACCACTGGGTGACAGCAATTTTGTATTACAATTTAATTACGAGAAAATAAATTGATTTTCAAAATTATAAAAGCTGGCCTCATATATTTATATATAAGCATATAAATCTTATATATCAACCAACGTCAATTATTAGTTGTATGTTTTTTCAATCCTTATATATATAATATCTTTGGTTGCTTTCCTTGACGAGACGACGGAGTACTATTTAAAAATTAATAAAATTTTCTGATTAAAATAATTACAACAACAATGGTTCAAATTTGAAAAATAGAGAAGTCTTTTTTTTTGTTAAATAAATATTTTGTTAAATAAATTATATTTTGGTAGCATTTTTTTTTACAAATTTGAAAGTATTTCTCATAATTTCGCCGGGTAACGTCACTAATGACTAGTCACACGTGCGCGTAACGTAAACGAAACCAAACGTAAAAAACGGTTCAAAATTCAAAGGCACATAAATTTATAATTTGAAATTTATATAGATAATACGGTTAAATGTTTAGTTATAAGGTAGTAGTGGTATAGAATTTGTTTTTTTTTTGGATTTAAGTGATTTAACAATTTTGAAATTGTTTTATTGAATCTTTAATTCAATATTTAAAAAAATTGCAAGGCAAATTGATGGCTAGTTTATGCTATTATTATATTATGTTTTTATAAGACTTTGGTTTTTAGAATACTTTATTTTTAAGCTTAAGCTGGATTGATTTGATTCAATTTCAAGGCATATTTAATTCAAAAGCGCAGGTTAATATCTTGGAATTACATATAATTTATTATATATTATTGTGGTATATATTTATTTGTTTTTGTAGGTAGTATCAATTTGGAATTTTTTTGGTTTTGTATTAGTCTTCACATAAATGAATTTGTTTAAATCCAGGATTGAATGTATTCAATTTTATTTTATTTAGTTAGTTCCTTGTATTCAGAAATACATATATTTTAATTTAAAATTTAACTAACTTGATTACTGAAAGCCTATTGTGTATAATATTTAATTTATTGTTAATCAATTTCTGTAAAAAATTTGTGTTTTTTAAATGTGATAAATATCTTTAAATAGATTATAGACTTTTTTAAATATTTTTATTATTTCTGTATAGTAATGCCATTTAGATATTGATATTTTAAACTATTTAATTATTCCTAATTAGTAGAAGTTTAAAATTTTTGGGTTTTGTTTTAATTCCACAAAATTTGAATTTGTTTAAATCATGGATTGAATGAATTCAAAAAAAATTAAAGAATAAATTAACATAACACAATTATTAAAATTATATTACATATTTTTAAATTTTTTTAATTCTTTGCATTAGCTTAGATTTACTTATTTTAATGTTGATTTCAACTTTAAATTTAGCTAAACTGATTATGAAAAAAAATTTTTTTCTCCAAAATTTCCAACTAGTTTTATTTATATGGTTTATTGATTATAATATTATCGTTAATATTTTATTAATAAATTATAAAGTTTTTTTTATTTTTAAAAGACCAATTTCTTAGATCAATCAATTTGATAAATAAACAACTAGATTAAAGTTAAAAATTTTAACATTTGTAAGTTTTACATTTGAGCAAAGTTAGTGAATAATTTTTATAGAAAAAATACAGCTTCTTGAAGACGAAACTTTAAATATTCAAATGTTGTTTTAATATTTATGATTTTAAAATAGACAGTTTTTAATTAATTAAATGTTTCGTTAAATTATTTTTTGCAGGAAGGTTTACGTTAAAAATGTCAGCAACTACTACTGATATAGCAAAATCAAGCTCTCATTATCCTAAAAAACAAAGAAAAATAGACAGTTTTTTTAACCATTCCATTGCAACAACAGTCCCTAATCAGAATGAACAATTTGACCCTGAGGATATCTTTTATGACACCACTTTACCTGATCACTCTACATCAGTAACAAATAGTATCTCAGCAGCAAAATCAAAAGTACCTGTACAGGCAGAATGTGTTTCTCAAGTCACACATACATCGTTACCTTTTGATCAGATCATCTCCAAAGATTTTGCACCTTTTGGACAGTGGTACAAAGGCTTCAAACTTGATGCTGCTTGGTTGCAAAAACACCATTCAGAACTGAAAGCAATAAAACTGGGTTCTCGTAAAGGTCTAAAATTCAAACTGTGCTACGATAACATTTCTGAAGCTAAAAAGTATGTTCGAAATGGTACTGTCCCAATAGCTGATGGTGTCCGGTGTGACGGCATGCAACAGCTTCAAAGAATTATTGATCACTTGAAAGCAATGAACCGCACAATCTAACAAACATCCATGGGTAAAAATTTTGAAACAACACAATATTGAACTGATATCAACTCTTATTCGCCTTACAGTTGCTGTACACAATGATTCAGTAACCAAAACGCTGTCAGCTTGGTCTTGGCCAAGTCGTTCACTAGCACAAATGCATGCAGAAAACCAAGTTAAGCAATACATTGATCACGGTCTTGATTGTAACTTTGTGGCGTTTAATCCACCCCAGTCAGCATTGCATTACAGAAATCCTGACCGGTACAGAGAGATATTATCATTTGTGTCCAAGCATGAATTGAGCAGAGTTATTCAAGCATTGAAAATCGCATACTGTGTCGCCCTGCAAATTGAGAAATCTGTTGATAAATACAATGCTGACAGTCTGTTTGTTACTGCTCGACACATGGACAACACTAATTTTGAGATGAAAGATAGTTTTCTTGGCGAATGCCACAGTGAGTTAAGAGGAGTAATTGGGATGGTCGATGCTTTGCAGAAACGTTTCCAGTATCTTGAAATTGAAGATGTCATTAAAGCAAAGATGGTGGGTCTTACGACAGATGGGGAAAATTCAAATACTGGACGTCACGGAGGGTTGTGGGTAAAAATGTCTGAGTATTTAGGGCACAACATGTTGACATTTTGGTGCATAGCTCACAGATCTGACCTGGCTTTTGAAAGCGTTGAAAACGTGGTTCCGGAGTTTCGTCATTGGTTAACAGATGTAAAAAATGTCGCTACTTATTTTCGTGGATCAAGCTACCGACAAGAAAAACTGCATGAAATTGCTGCAAGTTTGGGTGAGACTGCTAAACATTTTCCACGGCATCATGAAGTTCGTTTTGCGGAACACCTTGCCAATGTTGTACTTGCAGTTCTGTCTAATCATCAGATGATGTGCGCTTACAGGAAGACAGTTGTACAACAAGGTGAAAATAATGAAAAGCAAAGAGCAAGAGGTTTTCTGAAGGATTGGTCCCAAACTTCATTCAACTTAAACATGAGTGCTGTTGCTTTGGATATCAATCAATCAATCAATCAATCAATCAATCAATCAATCAATTAGCTTATAAAGCGCTATTTCCGCGATGTTCAACAGCGCTCCTCAATGAATTTTGAAAACAGATGGGTCTTGAGATCCGCTCTGAACTTCGCAAGTGATGGAGAAATAGTTAGAGAAGTAGGTAGAGAGTTCCAGAGAAAAGGACCAGAAAAAGCAAAAGCAGATTTGGCAAAAGAGTGTTTAACACGAGTTAAGAAAAAGCGAGAAGAAGAAGACGATCGTAAACCGGGGCGTTTAGGTTCAATTAATATATCTGATAAGTACTTAGGAAATAATTTAGATTGAGACTTATACATGAACGTGCAAATTTTAAAAATTATTCTATATTTTATAGGTAGCCAGTGCAAGAGAACAAGATATGAGATATATGAGAAAAGAAAGGGGCACGAGCAACTAGACGAGCAGCAGAGTTAAAAGCTTTACTTAAAGGATAGAGTATAGAGTCAGGAAGACCATAGTAGAGCGAGTTACAATAATCAATCCTAGATAAGACTAACGAAGTAACAAGAAGGAGAAGAGTAGGATCATCAAGAAAAGGCAAAAGTTTTTTTATTCTACGTAGATGAAAGTAAGAGCTTCTAGCAACACTATTAATCTGAGAAGAGAGAGACATAGTAGAATCAAAGATAAAACCTAGACTACGAAACTTATGAGAGACATCAAGAGTTTTAGAATCAGGTAAGATAATAGGAGGAATAGTAATTGAGTGTTTAGATTTATTAAAACAAATTAATTCAAACTTAGAAGGATTAAGTTTAAGACACATAGAATCAGACCAAGCGATAATCGAAGAAAGACATAGAGATAAATTATGAAGAACACTATTGAGATTAGATGGAGGAAAAGAAGTATATCTTGCGATTTACAAAAAAGAAGCTCAACGCACGTTTGTTACCTTGGCTGATTTAATGCAAAAACACGACCACGTACTTCAGCGTCTTTCCATGATGGTAAACAGTCCATATCCTGGGGGATATGAAGAAAAGTTACAAAATAATAGTGGACTTGCATCTACACAGTCACTGCAAACTGAAGCAAATGATAATCAATTTCAGAGAAATATGAAAAACTAGTATGTTACAACACGCAATAGAAATTTTGAAGCAGTGCGTCTTGAGGTAATCACATGTGCAAAAAACTTCCTTGAGAGAAGGTTGGATGTCGATCAGGATTTACAAGTAAAGGCAATGATAGATGTTGCCAATGCTGAAAATGCTGAAGCAATGATCAAAGCCGGTCGGCAAATTGTATCAGATATTTTTGGTGATAATTATGTTTCAGAATTTGTAGATGATGCTGTTGGTTACTATTCATCATTTAGTGCTTCATCTTTTAAGCCGCATGAAAGCAATACTGCCAAGTTGTACTTATTGCTACAAAAACAACACCGTCGTCTCTTTTAAACAAGCTGGTTCAAACATTTCTTATAACTTGCCCTCACAGCATGATCACGGAACGGGTAATTTCATGCCATACAGAATTAAAAAGCGACCTTCGATCATCTATGTCGAGAAATACTGTGAATGACCGATTATGCATTGCTTTAAATGCTATAGGTACCGCAAATTTTGATCCTCGGCCAGTGGTGGCTGATTTTCTTTCTTCAAAAACGAGACGATCGACTCTACCAGATGATGAACTTTACCGAAACTGGGAATTTGTAAAAAAGTTTTTTAATACTGAAAATAATTTGTGATTAGCTAATTTAACATCAATTTTTTTTTGTGATACTGTGTCGTTAATAAAAAAAAATGTCACTTATTTCAAATTGACAAAAGAGTTAGTGCATGTGCATTTTTAACGCATCAACATTTACATAAACAAAATCATGAACAATTTTTTATTGACAATTTAAATTAGACGTTTTGTCATTAGCCCATTCCTGGTTCAAATTAGCTTATTCCTTAGGCTTGTAATCTATGTTTTTACCGCATGATTAAAGAATTGTATTCTTCCATGAAAAAAACTTCATTTTCATTAGAAAGTTGATGCAATATCTATTAGGTTCCCGTGATTTGAAAAGAATTGATACTATAATTATCATTTCCAAAACATTTAAAACTTTGTCATCTAGTGAAAATTTCTTAGACGAGGCTCTGCGATGTAATGTTATATAAAGAGTTTTATATAATCAATTTTTGTTATCATTGGTATTTGTCGCGGACTTTGTTATTCATAAGCTGTTTTGTTTGGTTGAAATTTTATTTCTGTTCCAATTTTGATTAGCTCATTGTTATATGCTGCACAGTTATAGTCAAGGTGGTCTGCACATACATTAGTATTTTTGATCTCCTGTCCTTTTGGGATATAAATACTGTAAAAAAAAGGTGCAGATGAATGTGTAATGGCTCTGTTAACAAATGCTAGAACCGGGCTAAATTTGTACATTTCACTACATTCACTTTTATCATTCAAAAAAAATCCTGGGCTGGTTGGCTTTACATATACTGAGGTCGTGAATTTTTCATCATCAATTTTGACTAAAGTATCTAAAATTGGAAGACTTTTTCCAGTAGAAAATTCATGCGTAAATTTTAGTTTTGAACTATTGAAGACATTTAATAATTGAACTAATTTAAAATTTTTATATGTAATAAAAATGTCATCTACGTATCGAATGTAAATATCAGGTTTCAATTTGAGATTATTTTTAAATTTTGAATATTCTAGATGACCCAGGGGGAGGCCTATTTACCAATATACAACACTTTCTTATAGATTGAAGCAGGGATATCAAATCAAATTTTATTCAATCAATCCAAATTAATAATAATTAGGTAATGATTAGGAGACCAAAGCTAAAAGAAAACAAAATTCTTGTGTCGCAGGCCACCGTTCACAAATTGTTCATTCTAACACGATTTTTAAGTAAATTTATAATTCATGTCAAAATTAACATAATGCACAATTTACATGATTCTAATTAAATAAAAATTGTACTTTTTTTTATAAATATTTCTTTATTTTGTTTTTAAACAAATGCAAGGAATTTGTAGTCTTTATATCAACAGGAAGTTTTTCCCAGATTCCGGGACCGGTATGTTTTAAACTTTCACCAAGCAGGTGGTGTATAGAGCAGAGGAGAATGTCGAGTGAACTTTGACTGCACAGCATTTCCGAATTCGAAGAAGTCATTAAAAGATGTAGGTAATTGATAATGTAGGAACTTGAACACAAAGATAGAAACATGATAATTATACACATTTTTTATGTTTAAAATTTTCAGTTCAGGATAATAACAGCTGACATGACTGTATGGATGTAGATTTAATAGAATTCTGATGAAACGATTTTGACATCTGGTAATTTGCTTCAAGTGAACTTCAGGGCTGTTTCCCCAGATGATGTTGCAGTATATTAGATGTGGATAGATTAATTAATAATACAAATCTATAATTATTGGTTTATTCAATCTTACTTTAATTTTATTAATTGCGCCTATGGTTTTATTAATTTTTTTCGATAACGAGTCTATATGCATATCCCACGAGAGGTTGTCCTTGATTATCACTCCGAGAAATTTTGTGCTGGATGTGCGTGGGATGCTATGGTTATTCATTTTTATATCTAAATTAGGTATTGTGTTAGTCAATATTTTTGGACCGAATAGAATGTAGTTGCATTTAGAAAAATTTACAATTAGTTTATTATTGATGAACCAATTTGAAACATCATCTAAACTTTTATTAATTATCTCTACATCGTTTGATGGATTGCTAGTTGGGAAAAAAATGTTAGTATCATCTGCATACAGAAGATGATGAGCGTCAGTAGCCAGATAAAAATCATTCATAAAAATTTTAAATAGAAGTGGGCCTAAGATTGATCCTTGCGAGACTCCTGAAGTTATATTTATTTTATTTGAAGATTTATTTTTTATCGACACATACTGATTTCTGTTTTGCAGATAGCTTATGAACCATGTATGTGTTATTCCTCTTATTCCATAGGAGTATAATTTCTTTATTAATATCTCATGATTAATAACATCAAATGCCTTGGACAAGTCTATGAAAACACCTATGTTTAGGATTTTTTTATTCAGATTCTTTAATATGTTTTGTACTAAATGCAGTACTGCTAGTTCAGTTAAATGTTGTGCTCTATATCTATATTGATTTTTATTTAATAAATTATTAATATTCAAGAATGAAGTTATTCTAATAAATATAATTTTTTCCAGTACTTTAGAAATAGGTGAAAGAAGGGATATTGGCCTGTAATTGCTCATTTCCATCTTATGCTAAGAACCTCAATTTTTCATTTTTTAACTATTTTTGGTAATGTCGATTTTATTTTTTTTAAAATTTATACCAAATAAAAGTAATTAATTACTTTATTGAATAACAATTAAAATTTTAAATAAAAGCAATATTCCAAAATTAGTAAATATACGATCGTAACTTTTGACTCGAACGATAAAAAATCACCCTCCAAATCCCCTCCGGAAGTATGCTCCTTGTTCGACCGTTAAAAGTGAGCGAAGGCCGTTATATTTATTCTAGTTATGTGAGATGACCTATATGAAAATTGGCGAACAATACTCCTAGAAGTGAACCCATTGCTATTCCGTCAATTTGTTTGTAGAGTAAAAATGGGTGCATAAAAATTTTACTAATGTTCCTGTTTCCGATACTATTGATATCATTCTTAACTATGCTTATAATTCATCTTGTCTACCTTTTAAAACACCTAAAAATCACCTTAAATTCATCTTGTCTACACCTAAACACCTAAAAATCACCTTAAATCTCTTTTAAAAATATGTACTACAGGAGCTTCTTTTTATATATATTGGAATGACTGTCAGAAATGTATTATTATGTTAATAAGAATAGTCAGTGTTCGAATTGTGAAAAAAGAAGTAGGGGGGTCATAAGGATTGGCGTGTGAAGTCAGCATTAAGGCGCGAAAATCCTCGCGACTAGGGGGCATGGGTAGCATTTTTATTGTTGATGTTTATCTTTTTTTTTAGCAATTTTTTGGCAGTTTTTCCGCCAACAGTTCCATCAATGAAAGCCCTGTCCTTACGACAACCAGGTGTCACATCACTTGCTGGTGTAGAAAACTTTACTTCTATACAAATACTGCACATAACCGACCCAATTGAACTCATCATGAGCCATGACCGTGACTTTTGCCAAGCTTTAAACTGAAGCTCATTTCTGCACACTTGGAAAACCAGAGCATCTGTTTGGTTTCTGGCTTACATTCTCTGTTGAATCTGATGGCTGCTAAAACCGTTTTTCAACGATGTTTTCTTCATTACATATGCCCTCATTTGATTCTACCAAACTTGAGACATTGACAAAATTTGTTAAATGTGCAGCAGACTCTACTTCTGAATCAGTATTTTCCATCGCTGAAAAATAATTAGATTTAAGTTAAAAATAATAACTTACAGGTTAAAAACAACCAATTTTAATTTAATTACCTTTACTTTTACATTTAAAGTTTTCAGAAGTCCTCTCTTTCATTTTGTTAAAAAGATTTAAATTTAAAATATTCGAAGATGAATCAGTTTTATAAATAGTGCCATCAAATTTTCTTTTTAAACTTCGTTTCATTTCCTTCTTAGCTCAAATTAATCTTATAATATAGGAAATAGTTCGTATTCCGAAACTTTTTATAAAGTGTACGTAATTAAAAAGCAATCGCATGCGCTGCCGTATACGGTATATAACAGACACCACAAAAAAGCAAAAACGAAAAGTGGATTTAAGTTACAATTAAAAACAAATATCAGTAAAATGGTGAAATATAAACATATCACCGAATAATAATGCATAAATGTGACAAGTATAATCTAATCTAAAAAAAGCACTTCTGAAGATAACTCACAAGAAGGGCTATATAAATCAGCAATACAATAATAACAAAATTGTAAATTTCTTGACCCCCCCAACATTAAAATTAAATGAAAGGTGGAGGGTCTTATTTTAGAGGTAGGGGGGTAAAACCCCATAACCACCTCATCAATTCGAACCCTGAGAACAGTGCTCTTCCAGATAAATTGACTCTCAGAAATGCAATTATTGGTAAAAATCACGGCATGTTCGCGCGTTAGCTTTTTATTTAGTTTTTCGATTTTTATAACGGTAAATAGTTGACAAGTTTCTTGAATTCAAATCAATCAATCAATTAGCTTGTAAAGCGCTATTTCCGCGATGTTCAACAGCGCTCCTCAATGAATTTTGCAAACAGAGGGATCTTGAGATCCGCTCTGAATTTCGTAAGTGATGGAGAAGAAGTCAGAGAAGTAGAGATTTCTAGAAAAAAGGGCCAGAAAAAGCAAAAACAGATTTAGCAAAAGAGTGTTTAACACGAGTTGAGAAGAAGCGAGAACAAGAAGACGATCGTAAACCTGAGCGTTTAGGTTCAATTAATATATCTGATAAGTACTTAGGAAATAATTTAGATTGAAACTATCTATATTTTATAGGTAGCCAGTGCAAGAGAACACGATAAGGAGATATATGAGAAAAGAAAGGGGCACGAGCAACTAGACGAGAAGCAGAGTTAAAAGC